CATTCCACCCCCTGCCATGGGCAGGGACACCTCTCACTAGCCCAGTTTGCTCCAAGCCCCTTCCAACCTGGCCTTGGACACTTCCAGGTATCCAGAGGCAGCCACAGCCGCTCTGGGCAGCCTGTGCTGGTGCCTCCCCACCCTCACAGACAATTCCTTCTCCCCTTTTCCAGTGGGAAGCCATTCCCCCTCGTCCTGTCCCTCTAGACCCTTACCCAAATCCCTTCCCACCATCCACCTAAATCCCCCCTCTTCCAGCCCGAAGCCACAACTGACACAAGAAACACGAAGCAACCCTAACTTTCTGGGGTCCTCTTTGTGTTTCCCAAAGCAAATCAAGGCTCTTCCCTGGTACCTGTGTCCACGATCCGGGACTTTCCCAGTTCCCTGATGCAAAGCAGACCCGTGGCCCGGCCGTGATCGGAGTGCGCGGCTCCGAACTGGAACGAGCGAGACACACCAGAAAAAAAAAAAAAAAAAGGGCATATTTCATCCTCCTCTTTTGTGGCTTTTATTTTCTTTTGTATTCACTTTGGGAATAACATTCTTTCCATTGGGAAGAGCCTGATTTTCCATTAAATACAAAGCAGCTGCCATTTTGGAAACAAAAAGTTGATTAAACACAGATTTTTTTTTTTTTTAATTATTATTCCCCTCCCCCCCCCCAACGTACAGAGAGCGAGAGCCACGTTTCTTTCAGCTGATTTATCGGGGCAAAGGCATCTGCCAACCATGGCAGCAGGAAGACTCGAAAGAGAGGGAACGGCATCATCTTTCCCGAATAATTTTACAATTACAATCTGACGTTCCATCAAAGGGGAAGGATCCCCAGGCCTGGAGCGCGGTGCCCGTCCCCTGAGACGCTGACTCCAGGGGCTCCTCACCCTTCACACACACAGGGATGCTCCAGATTCCCGATTTACGCAGATTCCCGCTCGTTGGGATGCCGAGGGGACGTCGGCATGACGCGCGGATGCCGGGTGGAAACGCAACCGGCACAGACACGACTGAAGGGCCAGATGTCGAGCAGGCAGGAGAAAAGGATGAGCTCCAAACACCAAAAAAATAAAAAACCAACCCCAAACCACCCACTCCATTTCCGCTCCGTGAGCCACCAGAGCTCCGTCCAGGAGGTTTCCAGCGTTCCAAGCAGGCCCTGACTCACGAGTGACCGACACATGGAACCTCCAACCTTTTCCCCAAGAACTAAACCACGTGTTAAATTTTCAATATTTAGGTGTCACATAAGGAAAACACGGGAGAAACAGAGAGATGGGTGGGGAAGGCTGTAGAAATCAGTGATACTTTGGCTTTTAATTAACCCCTCAGGTCCTCCTTGTTTAGGGCCCTTCCTGAAAGACAACGGATGCCGGCGACCCTGAGAAATCCATAAGGATTTGCTCTTTGCAAGGCTTTTCCTCTGCTGCTACTACACCCAACCAAGGCTGGAATTTCCAGGGAGAACATCTCTCTCTGGAAAGACACCCCATGATGGTCACCAAGAAGGATGTCCTTCAACCACACGAAGGACACTCAACCACGCCCGTGCCGCTGCCGGCTCTGAACGACAATCCCGAGCGCCCAACCCTGCTCCATCAACCCTCAATCCAAGTGATCCCTCCCCACAGGACACTGCACTTGACCTTGTGCTCCTCAAGGGCAGGTGGGTCTCCTCCCAAGGGTGCTTTAAGGAAGGTAGCAGAAGGTTTGGAAGACTTGCTGTTCTTAGACATTCCTCTGAACATTCCCATGAAAGCCTCAGAAGAGCCAGTGGACGAAACAAGAGGAAAGCAGAAAGTCTATTATTTCACTTAAATTTCCCAAAGGATAAAAAAAAAACCAAAAAACTAACCCAAACCTTATCTTCTGGTAGGTATAGGCCAAGGCTCTGCTGCAGGAAGGAGAAGGAATGTTCGGACTCCTTACTCCAAGGACGGATTTTTGGCTGTCAAATCCCCCATCCCACAACATCTCCTACTTGGTGGATGGAGGTGCATGAGAAATAAGCACCAAATAGCTTGAAAAAAATCAAAGTTTGGGAACTAAAAACCCAAGCCAAACATGCCAGGGTGACTCCACAGAGTGGAAGCAATGCCCAGGGAAGCGTGAACACCCTGGGTTTAAGGATTTATGGGACTGGGCATTTGAGCTTCAATTAATTCTGAAAGTGCTGAAAGCAGACAAGAAACCATGTAATTACAGGATAACTTGGCTTAGCCAGGCTCAGCTTAACTGGTGCCCCCGGGTTAATCACAGGTCAGAGTTCCCCCAGCCAACCCTGCTGAACCCACAGGATTTGAACCCTCTGCTCCTTGCCTTAAAGCAACCACCAGTTCTCCTTCCCACCCTTCATTTTGGAAAGCCTTTGGGATTTTCGAGACACTCGAGAACACCAGGAAAGTCCTGCTCCAGGCCACCTTCTCCCCCTCAAAGCACCCACGTGTTTTAAGGGAGATTTGCCCAACCTGCAGGGCATGCTGGCCCAAGCCACGCCCTAAAAGCTTGGATCATCTCTGGAGAGCAGAGGAAACCCCCTGAGAACCAACCAGGGAGGATTTGGGATGCTGTTCGTGCCCTGTCCATGTCCACACCCAGGGAATTCACTTTTTTAAATGCACATCTGCACCCACAGCACCGAGAAACTCCCAGGATCAGCCACCACTCCTTCCCACCAGACATTCAACCTTACAATCCTTCCCTTGTCCTGCTGCTTTGTGCAACCCAATTTTTAGTTTTCCACCTCTTGCAGACACTCAGATCCAGTGATTTGCTCCCACCAATTAATCCCAACTACCGAAAGAACTGAAAATTAGGAGGGTTACAAGGAAAATTAAGACTCTGGGGCAGTAAAGAACAAACCCAGCTAAGAGCAGCCCGGCAAAATCCCACCATGTAACAGGATTACTCCATCCCTGACCCTTTCCAGGGGAGCTCCAGGTATTATTTTCCATTGATTTACCTTAATGAAAGCAAAGCCCCCCTCTCTGTAGGAAGCTGACTCCAGAGCTGTCTAGGCACTGGATTCAATTAAAGGAATAAATACATCTGGCTTTGAAATGGCTGGAATTCTGGAAAAGCCAGAGGCAGGAGGGGCTCTTTGAGCCTCTCCCTCTGGGGCTACGCCCCAAGGACACCACGTAGGGTGGGTGACACCCAACACCGCTCCTGGAAAGCCAAGGACTCTTTTCATCCCCAGTTTGGGGTTTGAGGGGTTTGATGACCCTTTTCAGCCCAACCTGTTGAGCCCATGAGGCCTTTAGGGCCTGTGGGGTGTGTGTGGTCTGTGGGGTCTATGGGGTCTATAAGGCCCATAGGGTCTATAGGGCTAGTGAAGCCTATGGGGTATATGGGGCCTATGGGGTCCATAGGGGGCATAGGATTTGGGGAGGGGGGCACCCTGAATTGAGGAGGGAAGGAGGGTAAAGGACAGTTGGGGGCTCCCCAAAGTGCCAGGGGAGGGGAGCAAGGGGCAGCCCCAGGGTGCGGGGTGAGGATGAGAGGCTGGAGGAAGAGATGGGAAGGGTGGAAAGACCTTGGTTTTGGAGGGGGGAAGGAGGGGTCACAGGGCTTGGGGGGAACATGGGGAGTGGTGGGCACCCCTAAGTGTGGAGGGGAGGTGGGGGAAGAAGCTGGGGGTGCTGTGGGGTGAGACTGGGATGGAAGGGTGATGGGGGGTGGATCTGCAGGGCAGAGGTCCTGGTGGGCGAGAGAGCAGGGTCGGGGCTTTTGGAGGGGGTTGAAAGGAGGATCCTGAGAACTCCTGACCCATCAGCCTCACCACGGGGGATTCCTGGAGCATCCCTGCCTGTTCCCTGGCTCCAGCCCTCACAGCTTTGATGGGAGCCAGCCCCAAACTGCTTTAACAAGGCTCTTTCTTCCCAGAAGCTGGTGTTGATTTGAGCCCTCGGTGTTGATTTAGAAACCCCCGGGTGCCCAGAGCCTGCAAACACTCCAGGCTTAGTTTCCAGGAAAAGGGGGACAAGCATCCAGCTGTGGCGTGGAATATCAATGTTTCCAAGGCAGTTCCAATGGAGAGCAGGGGTTAAAGGCTGGGACTGAAGCAGAAGCTGGGATTGAGGCTCGCCTCAAACCGACCAAAACCCAAGGCAGGCTTTGCTCGCACGTGCCTTGGTTTGCAGCCATGGGAATAGAGGAAACAAGGTGGCTCAGGAGCACTTTGTTTGCGATCTATCCGTGGAGATGCCGTGAGGATCGTTCTCCCGCACGTGAAACAAGCAGAAATGACGATTATGGGGGGTTGTTGAACCAGAAGCTCGGTCCTAAAGGTCTCCTTCACTTTTTAGTGTTTTTTTTTTGGTGCTGATTGCCCTGACCCACACAAGGAGGGAGCAAAGCTCAAGAATCCACAGTGGTTTTGGGGTAAAATCATAGAATCGGGGAATGGTTTGGGGTGGAAGGGACCTTAAAGACCATTTAGTTCCACCCCCCTGCCACGGGCAAGGACACCTCCTCCTAGAGCAGGTTGCTCCAAGCCTTGTCCAACCTGGAATTGGAGCAGTCCAAGGGAAGGCTTAGTGGTCCAAGCTCCAGGTTGGAGCACTCAGACCAGGAGGAACATCAGGCTGGAACCCCCAGGGGGGATTTCTCTGCACAGAAGACAGGCAGGATTTTACAAACATCTTTTCACTTTCAAGCAGAGGGTGAAGGTTCCATCACGCTTTCCCCAATAACAGACATTTCCCCTAATCCCCTGCAAATTTAAGGGGATTAAAGGAGCCATTTAAATGTTCTAAAATCAACAGTTCAGCGATGCCACTGCGACAACACATTTGTGGGCGACCCCTCGGGAAGGAAACCCCTCCCCTTGGTCTCTTATTTACCACAGGATCATACAATCATTAATCCTATTGATTTAAACTTTTTAATCGCTCTTTTCCTTTCCTCTTCTCTGAGATGAAGGACCCTTTCTGGTTCAACTCCCCCCCTCGACACCAGGAGGTGAGAGCAGAGCAGACCAGACACGTAAGCCTCGTACTCACCGACATGGTAGAGTGGACATCTACCTGCCCCTACAGAGGACAACACAGGGAGGTCAAAGTCAAAGGCAGAAGAGAGCAAAGCAACAGGAGAAAGGCAGAAAGGTTCACACTGGTCATTTTTAGGTCCCTTTGGAGCAAAGTTATTAAGAAAGCAAAATACAGGCCCGTTGGACCCGGTTTAAGGAGGGTGAAGGGGAAAATAAAGTACCACAGGAGCAGTTTAATTAAGTATCATGGAAAGGTTTGGGTTGGGAGGGATCTGAAAGATCATCTCATTCCACCCCCAGCCATGGGCAGGGACACCTTCCACTAGCACAGGTTGCTCCAAGCCCTGTCCAACCTGGCCTTGAACACTTACATCCACAGCTTCTATGGGCAACCTGTGCCAGGGTATCACCACCCTTCCAGCCAGCAATTCCTTCCCAATATCCCATCTAACCCTGCCCTCTGGCAGTGGGAAGCCATTCCCTGCGTCCTGTCCCTCCATCCCTTGTCCAAAGTCCCTTTCCAGCCTTCCTGCATTCCCTTCAAGCCAACATTCCTGCACCTCAGCTCTGCCACCTGGAAGTGATGGACGTCAAACCCTAGCGAGTGACAGAAGGGATCAGCTCCATAAAAACTTGCTCAGCCCTTCCAAGGGCAAAGGGACCTTATTTAAGGGCAGCCAGGACTCGTGCAAACCTACAGAAGGGTGACTTTGGTGCTCACACCACGTTTTCATGACGGTTATTTTCCACTTGGGTCCCTCCCAGCGCGGTCGAGGCTGCGGTTGGTGCAAAGTTCAAGGCATTTCACCTCCACACACGGTGCCTGGGCTTATAAATATTACAGGGGGGATTTGACTTTTTTTTTTTAAGTAAAAACACAGGTAATCGTTCTGTTGAAAAAGAAAACAAACACTTGCAAAGCTCTTTTCTACCAGGGCAAGAGCTGCCGGGGTCGGCGCGTTCGTTCGCGAGCCGGGGAAGAGATGCCAAGAGAAGGCAAAAAAACTCGTGGCTCCAGCTGAAATCTGCGCCTGCCATCTGGCAAAAATAAGCAGAAAAGGGGAAAAAAAATAGCTGGGGGGGAGAGGGGGGGGAAGAAAAAGAAAGGGGAGAAAAAAAAAAACCAAGAAAAAGCTCTTTGGAGAGTTCACACTGAACCGCTCGGGACGGCAGAGGTTGGAGTTCGGTCGATCGCTGAAAGATTGCTTCCCCTTCCCGGGTCAGCATCACCTCTTGACCTGCCCTGATTACCTTCCAAAGGAGGTTATCGAGATACAAGACTAACAGAGGATTAAAGGAAACTTAAAATAAAAACAAAACACCCCCCCTCCCTCCCCTTCCCCTCAGCCCCGCTCCCCTCCCCCAGGAAAACATCCTTGCTTTGTTAACCTGACAGTTCCCGGGAGGTGTTGACACAACCCTCCATCTCTGAGGAGCTTAATGTCAACAAATCAGTGTGTTTGGAGTAGCCCTGTCAATGCGATTTACATTAACTTGTCTAACAAGAAATAAAAACAACAATCAGCCATCAAAGACAAAGGGGCTTTTTCACTCATTCTTTTCAAAGTATTAGGCTGGAAATGTTCATTTTTGGAGGCCGTGGCCCTGCGTTCGCTGAAAACCAGAAACCACCTTTTTTTTTTTTTTTTCCCCTCTTTCTCCTAAAATACTTGTGGGTTTTTAAACTCAATTTCCACACCCCCCCTATTAAAAAAAGGAGTATTTTCTTTTAAAGGAGCCCCTTGCATCCCATATTAACAAGCAGCAGTAACTGACTCTCCCTGGTTAACTCAGGAAGAGGTCGGCCTGGAAAGCCAAAATGTTAATTATGCTTTGATTTCCATCAGCGTTTTATTTGCTTTGAGACGTTCTGGGCACTTAGAGGAGGCATTTTCAAACTGTGGCTCTAAACCACCGTGACAATCCCACGCAGCCCTGGAATGCACCGAAACCCCGGGAACTTCACCGTGAACTTCTCCTGCCCCCCGGCACACGCTGTACCCACCAGCGTGCCCGGCACCGTCCCGCAGCCACGCTGCAGAATGCAAATGAATTCCAGGAATTCCCACTATCCAGTGGTTCTCATCATCTCCCACAACGTCTGCACCCTGGTGCTCTAAAGGAAAAATTTAGGGATGGCAGTTACTGCTTGAACTCCAGAGGAAGAGGAGACTTTTCAGGCCGCTCCACGGGCCGGGGTTTTGGGCTGGGTTGATTTTGCTGCTTGAACCAGGTGACCTGGGTGCCCAGAGAGGTGGGTGGATGCCTCATCCCTGGAAAAATTCAAGGCCAGGTTGGACAGGGCTCTGAACAACCTCAGATGTGACGAGAATCATGGAATATTCTGAGTTGGAGAGGACCCACAAGGATCAGAGTCCAACTGAATGGTCTATATGGGGATCTGGTCTAGTTGAAGATGTCCCTGTTTATCACAGGGGGTTGCACCAGATGACTTTTAAAAGTCCCTTCCCAAAATTATTCCATGGCCTCCAGTGGTCTGTCAACCATGGCAGAATCACAGAATATTTGGCATTGGAAGGGACCCACAGATTCAACTCTCAAGTGAATGTCCCCCAGAAAGACTGAACCTCCAAATCCAGTGTTATTTATCAGCACCCTGCTCCAACCAGCTGAGCTCATCCCAGGGTTTATTTTCTGGGATTCCTAATAAATCCAGGAAAATTTCAGCCATTCACACATCCAAAAAGGGCTTTGGGCTCAGTTCCATCTCAGGATGGAGTACTTTGGGGGGGTAATTTTACCGTCATAACCATAGACATGCCCAGGCTGGGGTTCTTGGAGCAGCGGGTGAGGGTGGAATTCCAGGTGGAATTCCAGCCCCTGCTCACTTACTCAGCTCCTGACTCCTTCCTCCCAAAAAAAACCTGCAGCTTCCAATACCAGGAAAACACTTGCCACTTGTTAAAAATGGTGGAAATTCAGGAATGTACCCAAATATCAGCTCTGGAATGTGGTGGAATCCCCAAACTGGGAGATGGGAATAGGAAGGGACGGATGGAGCTGCACAAAGGAAGGAGAAGATGCTCCAAGGATGCCTCATCCAGGGATGGTGCACTTGTTTTAGTCTAGGAACTACTGGAAATCCCGGATTTCAGAGCTGGTCCAGGCTGAAAACTCATTTCCAGCAGGGAAGTAACTCCTCTTAGATCCCAACACTGCAGTGAGTTATTATTTGTGTATTATAAAAAATAAAATTAAATGAAATTGAATGACATTTTTAAAAGTAAAATAAAATAACACGAAACAAAGTAAATTAAAATAAAGTAAAATAAACCAAAACAAAATAAACCAAAACAAATTAAATGAAGTAAATAAAATTACATAAAATATAAAATTAAATTAAATAAATAAAATAAAATATAAAATAAAATAAAGTAAATAAAGATACATAAGACTACAAAAATATAAATAAAGTAAATAAAAAATGTAAATTAAAATAAATTTATGTTTTATTCTATCATTAGCTCTACTGGATTTGGATCAGCAGTGTAGAAACAGCTCTACCTTTCCCCCAGCAATCCTGAAATATCCTCTTGGAGTTGTAATCCACCCTTTTTGGAGACTGTTCCTTCTCCCCCCTCACTCTTTCCTTCCACAGCTGAAGCTCATCCCACATTTTTGGTGCTTTCCCAACCATCTCCATCATTGTCCTGCCTGGCTTTGGACACGTGGGGGCTTCTACACAACTTCCTACATTTCACCAGCAAAGGGCAGGAATTTCAGTGTATTCCTGAATAAGCCACTGGGAAAAAAAAATCCTTGAGCCCTGAAAGGACGAAGAACCAGAGACACCAAAGGATCTGGAGGCCCTTTTAGGTCCACCCTGGTTCTTCCTGGCTTGGTCTCCCCACCCACAGCCTGCGAGGGGATGGAGGGACCCCCAGCTCCCCACAGCCCTTGGCAGCATCTCCCCGAGGTGCCTCCCCTGCTCCCAGGAGCCCCCTCCTCAGCCAGGGCCTTCCATCCATCTCGCTGCTTTTCAGACCAATTAGTGCCCTCCCAGCCCCCAGAACAATCCTGGCTCACTCCAAGAGGAAACATTAATATTTAAGGAAGACAAATCGCTCCAGGGCCAACCTCATCCATCACCGTGGGCTCCCCCCCCATCCTCATCTCTCCTGCTGGTTGAGCTCCACGCTCTGCTGCAGACACCAATCTCCCTGTCAAATCCCATTAAGCATTCCCAGTAGGATTCCTGGGAGTGGTCTCCAGCCCTGTGGAGCATCATCTCCCTCTTTGAGGAGAGCTCCAGCCATTTCCAAGCACCTCCCGACTCCAAAGGCCCCACAGCTGGGCCAGGCTCAGCCACACTGCCCGGCTGCCAGTGGAGGTGACTTTTTGGCAACAAACCTGGACAACAAGATGAATAAAAGCCCTTCCAACCTCTCTGCACAGGAGGCAACACCTTATTTAGCAGTTTGTTCCAGAGATACAAGAGCCAAGGAAGCCCCTTTTCCTCAACAAGACCGGGAAAGCCACTTCCATTTCCCTCTTGGTGGCTTCTCCATCCCCGGCAAATCCTCAGCTCCATCCTGCTCCCAGACCTTCCTGCTGGCATGGAAGACATGAGCCCAATTTTGGGGCTGTAACACCTCCTAAAACAGCTCTGGAGGGCTAGAACAACCTCCCAGAAGAGGAATCCCAGGGAACAAACAAGCAGGACGAAGGAAACCGCCGCTGTGGATGTTAAATCTTCTCTTCCTGTTTATGCCCGAGCTCATGAAAGATGCCCAGTGTGGGCACAATCCTGGGCACCCAGGAACAACAAATAAATCACAGTCCCAGTAAAAAAGATCTGAAATTGCTTTTAGAACAACTGCAGAGCTCAGTGGACTTGCAGTTCCAAAATACCTGCTGATCCCAGCTCCTCCTCTGGGTATACCCAGACAGCTCAGAACAAATCTTATTGAGGTGGGGGGGGGGGAAGCTTTTTGAGCAAAAATGAAACTCCCTGATGATTCTGTTTTTCCTATCCAGTGAGACACTACTCAGCCAAGTGCAAAAAGCAACACAAACCACATTTTTGATGGCAACAACAGCATAAACACACAGGGGTATTTTAGACAGCAGAGAGAAGAAAGAAACACAGGCTGCCTTCCAACGGAGCAGGGTTTTGATGGAAGGCACCAGTGGCTTGACAAACACTTGGAAATGTATCTGCAGTTCAAATAAGACACTCAGAGAGTGGATTTCTTGAAAAAAAAATGCTGGATGGCCATCAAGCTGAACATTTAAATAGCCAAAATCACAGAATGTGCTGAGCTGGAAGGGGCCCTCCAGGATCATCGAGTCCTGCACAGGCCCAGCCCCAAGAGTCCCACCCTGTGCCCCAGAGGATCATCCCAACCCTCCTGGAGCTCTGGCAGCCTTGGGGCTGTGCCCACTGCCCTGGGCAGCCTGGGCAGTGCCAACCACCCTCTGGGAAGAACCTTCTCCTAAAAATACAGGTGGGAAGTGAAGGATGACCCTCCTGGTCCACAGTGGGCTGTGATGGTGCCTCGATCACGTGCAACAACACCTGCCAATAACTGGGGACACTCTCAGCAAACCCAGCTTGTGGTGACAGGTGAAATACGCTACTTTTAAACCAGACCTTTCTTTATGTCAGAACCGACAGCACAAGGTCCCGTTCCCACCACGACACACCAAGTCTGAGCAGCCAGGAATTCCCACAGCACCATGGGATGCCTGGAGAGGAAAAGGAAGGAGTTGGTGGCGGTGCCTTACCGGCAGGTGGGTGAACACGGCGAAGGTGCTGCGCAGGAAGCCGATGAGATCCACCAGGTAGTCGCTGGCCCTGCTCCCCGGCTCCGGGGCCATCCAGTCGTAGTCTGCCAGCTGCAGGAACTGGTCGATCTTCTGGTTCAGGTTGGTGTAGATCTCCTCCTCGGCCGCGTGCCGGGCGTCCTGCGGGCGACACGACACGTGGGGTGGGGGTCTCCACACCTCCAGACCCTCAGACCCACGGGTGGCACAGCCCGGAGCTCAGGGAGCACCCACGGGGCTGCTGCAGCCTCAGGGAGGCCACACTGTGGGGACAGGTGCCACCAGGCTGGTGGTGGGCAAGGGCAAGGTGGGTTCTGCCTCTGATGCAACCTTGGGACAAATCCAGTGGAGGATGGAGGGAAAGGGTTGAGACCCACCCAAGCGAAAGGTGTGAGGTGCAGGAGGCCACCCCTGCCAAAACAAGGCAGGAAACTCAGCTTTAGGCCAAAGAGGTGGGTGAGGCCAGAATGGACTTCCCTGAGGACAGGAGACCTTACTCTCCTGCTGAGTTATCCCAAGGGCAAAGCTCACCCGAAAAACTCCCTGCTGTTCCCATGGGACACAATTCAAACACCCCACACTTGACCCATCACGGCCTTAGGATTCCATGTGAGGTATCTGTGTGAACGTTCCTGGGGTAGGATTTCAAGATGTAAAGGCTGGGAAGTCTGGGAGTTCCTGTCAAACTTGATTTTTAGGGAATAGTGCTAAAAGGAGTGGAAAGGTAGAGAAATATGAACTCTGGAAGTCTGTTCTCCCCTGGGGTGAGGAATTCATGGCCAGGCATGGGTCACACTGCACTCAAACAGCAAAATGAAAACTCATTTTAAAAATAAATCAATCATCAGGCTTTTGGTTTAAAGCTTGGTTGTTATTGTTGTTATTATTATTATCCTTTAGATAATCAGGGCTGTAAGTCAAGGCTACAAACTCTCAGGACCTTGACAGAAGCAACGCCCCAAAGGACAAACCCAAAATTGATGGTTCAAACTTCCCCAAAATACGACCAAATCATCTTCTGGCTAAGCCCAGCTGCCTAAAACTCCAAATCCACCCTCTCCAAGCACCCAGCACCAGCCCCTCCTGGAGGAGGAGCCACTGGATTCCTCACCTTGAAGGTGGTGGTCCCGTAGAGCTTCGTCGTGTGCACGGTTTCCGGAAGCACGTTGGTGATGTTGGTGATGAATTCCTCGAGGAACTTGCAGGATTTCTCCAGGTGGGTGGTGTTTATAATAATCTGTACAAGCTGTAAAGGTAAAAAGAACAAAAGGGTTCAACCGTGGTGCTTCCCAAAGCCAGGGATGTGCCGGGTTCAATCCCAGGGACGCTGGCGTGAAAAGCTGGCGCTGTGCAAACACACCGAGCTTTGCTCCGGACTCAAAGTGGCTCCTCCTTTACCAGCAGCAGAAACTTTAATAAAAGGTAATTTGGGGGTGAAAGCCTTTCCCATGACAGCCACTAATACCACAGGAGATGATTATTTTCTAATGACTTTCCTATGCTCAGCTGTCACTCCGGGCTCGTGTCAGCCGTGCCCAAACACAACAGGCCTCCCAAAAAAAAAACTGCCCTGACAACTCAGAAGGCAAAAAAAATCCTCTTCTGTCTGCCAGTGAACCCTAAATAACCCACCCCTGGAGTGACACCCAGCAGCATCACACCAAGGCAAACAAAGAAACCACCAGGTTTGGCTTTTGGGAGGGTGCTGGTGGTGACCAGATCTCTTCCAGCCCCAGAAGGGATCACAACGCTGGATTAATTATAATTGCTTTGGAACTGTTGTTAAATGATAATTGGATTGCTAGAGCGGCGTCTGGAGCCACCTCCTCTACAGGAATGGTTTTGAAACACCCACAGCTCTGGATGAGGTTGGATTAATCAGTGATTTAAGGGGTTTAGGCACAGAAACACTGAAGTGACGCTACAGAGATCACAGAGCCCAACTCTTGGTGGTGCTGGATGACATGGGAAGGGTGATGGTCACATCAGGGAGGTTCAGTGTGGCTATCAGGAAGGAAGAGAGACATCAGGAAGGTGATGCAGAACTGGAACAGAGTGCCCAGAGAAGCTCTGGGGCTTCTCTTTGGGAGAAAGGAAAAGTCAGGTAAGAAACTCACGGCTGGCACGGTCCAAGTGAGCAGTGATCCCAATCCCAGTGGGACGTCAGAGAAGAGGAGACTGAGGGGAGACCTCCCTGCAGTTCCAACTGCCTGGGCAGGGGCAGAGGAGGGGCAGGACTGAGCTCTGCTCTGCGTGACAGGGACAGCCCCAGGGAATGGCTGGAGCTGTGCCAGGGCAGGCTCAGGGTGGATCTCAGCAGAAGGTTCTTCCCCCAGAGGGTGGTTGGCACTGCCCAGGCTCCCCAGGGCAGTGGGCACAGCCCCAAGGCTGCCAGAGCTCCAGGAGGGTTGGGATGATCCTCTGGGACACAGGGGCAGCCACAGCTTCTCTGGGCAAACCTGGGCCAGGGCCTCCCCACCCTCACAGCCAGAAATTCCTTCCCAATATCCCATCTAACCCTGCCCCCCTTCAGCTGGAGGCTAATCCCTCTTGTCCAACCACCCCAAACCCACGTCCTACCTCTGTCAGCCCCACGTTTTTCCTCTTGATGACGTTCTGTAAACAGTTGCTCAGCGTCCGGGTCAGCAGCAGGTTCGTGGATTTCCGGATCATGTCGTCGACCTCGGTGGAGCTGGAAAAGGGGGAATTGCGAGAGAGGATTGCAAAGTGTTCTGTGAAAAGAAAATCATCTTCATCCTCCTGCTTCCCAACACTCTCCTGCCTCCCCCATCATCATCCACACAACACTTACAGCTTCTCTGGGCAACCTGTGCCAGGGCCTCCCCACCCTCCCAGCCAGCAATTCCTTCCCAATATCCCATCTAACCCTGCCCTCTGGCAGTGGGAAGCCATTCCCTGTGTGCTGTCCCTCCAGGCCTTGTCCCCAGTCCCTCTCCAGCTCTCCTGGAGCCCCTTTAGGCCCTGCCAGGGGCTCTCAGGTCTCCCTGGAGCCTTCTCTTCTCCAGGGGAACCCCCCCAGCTCTCCCAGCCTGGCTCCAGCCCTTGGTGAATCAGACTGGAAGCTCCAATCACACATTCCTGCCCTTTCCCAGGTGGTCGTCAACTTCAGCATCGTTGGAATTCGGGGTTTGTCTTTGTGCCCCTCCAGTGTCTCCCCTTTCTGAAGAAAATTTGGGAAACCCACCCAAACTGGTGGAGGTCCTGCTGGGGTGGGAGGGGGCGCTACCAGCCCATGTCCCGCTCCCACTTCCCAAATTCCTGTGCCTGTTTAGTGCTGGCTCAGTGCATCTGCTCCAAGTGCTGCTCCAGCAGGGCCTGAAGCTCAGGAGGGCAGGGCTGAGCCTCCTCCAACAGGGATTCTGTGCCCACAGCAGCTCCTGGAGCTCCTCATCCTTCCATGTTCCGGCATCACTCACTCAGCTCCATTCCTGAGGTTATTCCAGCCCTTCCTTGTGCTGCTGCCTGGGAATTGCACTGAAATCCCTCAAACTGGGCCATTCACATCAGAGTTGGACTCTGTGGGTCCCTCCCCATCCTGAATATTCCATGATTCTGCCACATTCCCAGGAGAAGAGGCAAACACTGCTGCCCACCCGCATCCCTGGGCGAAGTCACAGCTGGAATTCCACGAGCAATCCACGTCCTGCTGCCTTTTCCAAAGGAAAAGCTCAGCTGCACAACCCCCCTCTGCCACACTGCACTCCCCAACAGGCCCATCCAATATTTCCTTTTCCCTGATGTTTGGAAGTTGGCTTTTTCAAGCTGCATGGTTTCCAGGGGCCGGTCACTGCCTGCTTCCCAGTTGGACACAGCGGAGCGGGACCAGCAGCTCCTGATCATTTCAATCCAAAGCCAGCAGCCAAAATCTTAGTGTGGGTCTCCTTTAGATCATCACTGATGCCAGGGAGTTTATTTTCCTCCTGCTATCCCACCCCTGGCTCCTTCTCCCAGGGTTTTGACGTGTCCAAGGTGATGGATTTGGGGTTTATAAATTATGGAAGAGAAATCAAAGGTAGAGGGAGGAGAAGAAACCAGTAAATGGATTTCCCTGGTCTCTATACCATGGGAAGGCCCCTCAAATAAGGTTTTAGTTAGAGACAAGTTAAAAAAAAAGTTAAAAGATGACCCCAAACCCCACCATGCCACACTCCCCCCAGGCTGTCCATCATCTCCCAGGAAAATCCAGATCTCCAAGTCCACTCCACCAGCAAACACGAGGGTTAAACACAGCAGGGGCAACAAAACCCAACCCTGTGGTTTGGATCTAGGGATGGCAAAAAGGACACCTGGGGAGATTTAAAGCAAAAAGGGTGATGCAAAGGGACCTGTGGCACTGGAGGGAAGCTCCTGCTCCTGCTGGAGCGGGGTGGGAGCTGGGAAGCGGGTGGGGAAGCAGGAAGGGCTGGATCTGTGTTTAGAGGGGGGTGACAAAAAATGTGTAAGGAGTAAAAAATACACAGAGTTAAATCCTGGTACAAACATTGAGGCCCTTTTGGGATTGGAGAGGGACTTTGGGCAAGGAATGGAGGGACAGGACAAAGGGAATGGACTTAAGCTAAAGGAGGGTGAGTTAGATGGGATATTGGGAAGGAATTCCTGGCTGGGAGGGTGGCCAGGCCCTGGCACAGGTTGGGCAGAGAAGCTGTGGCTGCCTCTGGATCCCTGGAAGTGTCCAAGGCCAGGTTGGAGCAACCTGGGCTAGTGGAAGGTGTCCCTGCCCGTGGAACTGGATGGTCTTTAAGGTCCCTTCCCACTCCAAGCATTCCAGGATTCCTCCACTGTGACACAGAGGATTGGTCTCAGCCCCACACACAGGTCACAATTTGTTCTCAGTACACAGAATTAAAAGATATGGACAGTGTTGTTGGGTGTTCCCCACCCACCACTTACAGCTGATGGAAATCTGATGGATCAGCTCCAAACTGGTGGGAATTGAGCAGTGCTGAGGTTGTTCCCAACTCTCCACACTCAGCCTACAACCAGGAGTAGCTGCAGCACTCCCACCCCACCAGCAAACACAGGAGCAGCTATATTCACCTCCTCTCTCCCACAACCAAATTCCAAAGGTCCTCCCAGATTTTAGTTCTCCCAGCCTCTCATTTTTATATGATTTTAGTTTTAATGACTTCACACAGTGCTTTGCATCCCGAGTTCTTTCAGGATTGGTGTTTAGCTTGCAAAAAAAACCAAAAAAAAACCCCAAACTCAAACAATTAAAAAAATCTTGGTAGATTAGAGCTCACATCCCATCCCTTCCACCCACTGTTTCCCAAAGATATTCCCTATCTTTCAAATGGGAAATGCCACTGGAGAAAGAGGAAGCCTTCCAGCGAGCAGATACTTTTAAAGACACCTCGATGAACTCAAAACACACTTGCAACAAAGAGGAAACTGCTGAATTTATACAGGAGGTTTTCTTTCTCCTAATTAAATTAACGTAGCCCATATAAAAAAAAAAAAAGCCAAGTCCTATAAATCCACACAGAGTTCCAAATTTTCTCCAAACACGTGAAGAGCAAAATAACTTCCATCAGAAAGGAGAATACTCCCGTCCAACAAATACAAGGAGGTAGCTTAAAAAAATATTAGGAAAAAAAATAATAATTAGGGGGGAAAAAAACCCCCAAGCTCTGTTTTCCTACCCGGGCTCTGCTCTTTGGGAAAAGAGCTCGGAATCTTGAAGGGAACTGTCTGTGTTAATGACAGCTGATGTCCTGTATCCCGTGGCAGTAGCTGTGACCTCCAGGCCCCCCCGTGACTGACGGGGCTGACCCCGCTCACTCCGGGGTGTGACATAAATGACAACCAAGGAAGCAAAAGAAAGGCAGGAGAAAGGAAAACTCGCTGCCGGCTTTGTAGCCGAGCTCCCCCTAATAAAACCTAATTCAAGCTGTCAGGGTGAAATGAAGAAAGTGTCAACAGGGGTTTTCAGAGAAATATTCCAAATGTTTGGCTGGAAAAGGCAGCGCTGGGGGCTCCCATCCCCCAGGCTCCTCGGAAAGGGGCTGGAAAAGCCCAATGTCGAAAGGAATTTTAATACCCTGTCCAAGGGGACCCCCCGAGGAGGGACCCAGAGGGATGGTTTTCCTTCCCTTCCCTGACAAAACCAATCGGGGGGAGAAAGGGCCTCCCCAGATCGGTGTCCCTCGCTCGCAGGGACAGAATTCAAACCCTGCAGGGCCTTGGGTGGGCACCAAAACGTCTGGTGAGGGCCCAGAGCGCTGTCCCAGCTTCACATCAGTGCTGAGGCAATCATGGAATGGGTTGGGTTGGAAGGGATTTTAAACCTGAACCAGTTCCAAACTCCTGCCGTGGGCAGGGACATCTTCCACTAGCACAGGTTGCTCCAGCCTGGCCTTGGACACTTCCAGGGATCCAGGGGCAGCCACAGCTTCTCTGGGAAACTTATTCCAGGGCCTCCCCACCCTCCCAGCCAGCAATTCCTTCCCAATATCCCATTTAAATTTTCACTTTTCCAGTGGGAAGCCATTCCCTGTGTGCTGTCCCTCCATGCCTTGTCCCCAGTCCCTCTCCAGCTCTCCTGGAGCCCCTTTAGGCCCTGCCAGGGGCTCTCAGGTCTCCCTGGAGCCTTCTCTTCTCCAGGGGAACCCCCCCAGCTCTCCCAGCCTGGCTCCAGAGCAGAGGGGCTCCAGCCCTGGCAGCATCTCCGGGGCCTCCTCTGGACTCTCTGCAGCAGCTCCACGTCAGGTCATGGCCAGGATACGAAACTCCCCCCCTGCAACTCCCACTTCTTGCTAGTGCAGCTCTGCACGTGGAAGGGAAGAAGGATCCTTCCTTCCTGTAAAAATATTGAAGGGAAGAAGGATCCCTGCTTCCAGTAAAACCCCTGTTGTCAGTTTTTCTGCCTCTACCCAGCTGAAAATGCCGCTGAGTGCAAGAAAAAAAAAAGCACCAACTTGCAGTTTCTGGTCAATATAGTTGGTTTTCAACCTCACACACGTACACAGGGGTAAAACCAGCATCAAAGCACCTTGGGATGCAGAGAGGAGGGTAAACACTCGGAATATTTTGCAGGCTTTACCAAAAAAACAAAACAAAACAAAAAAATCACATTATTTGTATGTAAACTCCCACGAGAAGCAAGAAAAACAAACCCCCGAAACCAGGAGCCGAAACTCATTCACACACAAAACATCCAAAGCCCCAGAGCCTTCCTGACAGCACATCCATGGAATTATGGGATTCACATTCCTTGAGGGACAGCCTGGGGAGGCCAAGGGGGAGGTCAGAGATGTTCCAGGAGGCCCTGACCCAACGAGGAGTGGGCACCACAACCTTTCTTGAGACAACCGGGTTCATTTATTTCCTACAGCTCCAGAAACATTTTTGGAGGAAACAACTCCCTCAGTTTTTATACAGCTGGGGTTGTCCTGGGCTGCCTTCCCTGGAAGTGTCCAAGGCCAAGGTTGGACAGGGCTTGGAGAAACCTGGGCTAGTGGAAGGGGGTGAACTGGATGATCTTTAAACTCCTTTCCAACCCAAACCATCCCATGATCTTCCCTCCCTACGTGAGGTAGTTTTGAAGACGCCGCCGCTCCAAGGAGACCACCAGCCCCCTCCAGCCTGGACAGGGTTTATCCAAACAGCTGAAAAACGTGAAAGGTCGAGGAAAAGAACTTCTCTTTTAAACCTTGGAGCTCTCTGAGCGCAACCAACACCGGGTGTGAAGGTCCTACCTCAGGTGAAGGTCCTCCGAGAACTTCAGGCAGGCGTAGATGAATTCCTTGATCTGATTGTAAACTTTAGGCACAAACTCGGAGAAGGGGAACTTCTTTGGAAAGGGTTGCTGTAAAAAAGCACAGGAGAGAGTCCCATGCAAGAGCAGCTACCCCCCAGGAGACACGACTGCTCTCCAGCAGCGCGCTCCGAGCAGTCAGATCAATCCCGGGATTTAGCCAATTCCAGCAAGGAGACAACGAGGCAATTCTTGGGGGTTTGTAAACACTTCAGCCCAGTGAAAGGCCACAAAACCCCTTACCAGTGGTACCTGGGTGCAGGAGGGATTTGGAGGCTGGAAGGAAATCTGCAGCTCGGAGGGAGCAGGCAGAAAACAGGCCCCTCATTCCCCATCCCAAATCCCTCCTGGCAAAACACCCTCTGGGAGAACTGCCCGACGTTTCTCTCCCAGCCATGCACGAGTTGTTTTGCTTGGTCACCTCTCCCCAGGTGCTGCCAGAGCTGAGAATTTGCTTAAAACACCAAAAACCAACAGGAAACAGGTTTTCCTACACCAAATTTCCCACCCAGCCCTCCCCACAGCACACGCTCAGTGGGAAGTGCAGGGACACAGAAAGACCCTGGACCCCGTGACTTAATTTTGGGGGAAGGACAAACACTTCCTGAAATCTGGCTCAAAACCCCTTCCCACTCCTAATGAAGTTCCCCTGGGATGGAGTTTCCTGGTTGCCAGAAGGCCAAGCAGGATTTAGGGGGCACTGGCTACATCAGATTTGGATACAGGTCAGTTTTGGGAGCACGCACTTGTGGAAAAGCCAAGATACACCACCTGGTTGGGCTCTTTTTCCTTAAATAAGAGATTAAAACATATAAAAGTCAAGAATATTGTTCATAAAATGGGAAAAATACCAGTGGATATTTTCATCTCCTGTGCATTGCAAGGACTGTTCAGCTGATTGCACACCCTGAGATGGAAACAAAAAATCAACGAGGTTTTTCTCATCCACACCTGGAGAAATGCAACACATGGAAGGGATATCTGCTCTGTTCCCTGGTCTTGCTTTCTTTTTTACTGTTTATGTGGTCTGGGGAGGTGGGTGTGGGTTATTTTTGATCCTTCCATTTGCAGTTCTCCACGTCCCCTCCTAAAGGGATTGGATCCTCCTTCACCAGCAGCCACATTCCCCATTCCAAGGCTCACCTTTTCAAGTTCAGGGTCCTGGAATGGGAACTGTCCAACTATTTTCTTGTAAAGTTCTTCATTTGACACCGGGATGGGGCTGTAGTTGTCTGAGTCAAGTATATTTCTAAGAAAAGGAAAGGAAAGTTAGAAAGGAAGTTCTGACTGTCCATGGGAGCTCCATTATGGAACCAGAGCCCTGTCCCTCTGGGATGCAAAGCCTTTGGTCTGCACAGATTTACGGCACCGATCTCAGCACACACAGGGTCCCCACAACTCTATTTCAACTGGCTGTCCCTGCTCCAGGAAAAGCCCAGGATCTTACTGAATCTTGCTGTTGCCCAAAATTAAAACATGAACTTGCAATTATGGTGCTTTCCCCATCCCTGGAAGCGTCCAAGGCCAGGTTGGATGAGTTTTGGAGCAACCTGGGCTAGTGGAAGGTGTCCCTGCCTGTGGCAGGGGGAGGAACAAGATGGTCCTTAAGGTCCCTTCCAGCCCAAAGCATTTGGTGATTCTCTGATTAAACCCTCAAAAGATTTTATTTAGGGGCCAAGACACCTCTAGGAGGGGCATCTCCTGGGTCTGCTGGAAGAGCCTCTTACCTGAAAACTCCTGACCATTTCTTCAGGAGGGTTTCACTGTACTGGTCCTGGATCTCCAACAGCATGTCAAAGAGCTGGTTCACTGGGAAGCCATAGCCCTGGGATGAGGGAAGAGAGCCACTTCAGGGGGGAAAAGCCATCAACTGGCAGTTGAAGATCATTTTCTCTATTTAACAGAGAGCAGGTGGGCAAACCCTCCTCTACCCCCACCCCAGAGGTGAAGGGTGCTGGTGGAGGGATTTAGGGGCTGATTTACCAAGGGTAGGACCAAGGACTGTCAAAGGCTTGGTCCGTGGGCAAAGCAGGTTCCCCATCAAGTGCCACGATCCAATCCCAAAAAAGAAGCCAGGCCACCACAGCCAGCCCCCACCAGCTGTTCAGCCTCTGGTGGGCACACCTGTGAGCAGGGAGTGGGCTGAAGAGCGGTCCCCACCCGCTGTGTACCTGGAGTGTGTCAGCAAAGAGGACGATGAGGTTCTTCAGGTCTAACACCAGGCTGGGGTCGGAGCAGTAGGACTGCAAAGAAGGGGAGAAATTAAAACACGGCTTTAACTGCACAGCACGGAAAAAAATCCTGCCCTCAGCCCCCCTGTGTTATCTCTGGGGCGATAATAAGGGCAGAGCCTCACGATCAGCTGCTTTTATCCCTCAGCAATGTCACCCAGTGCCAGGGAAGGGGGACTGATAAGGGTATCTCCCCTCCCAGCGCCGCTCCCCAGGCTCTCCACGATGCACAAGGGCTTTGGGTGCTCCAGAGATACCTGAAGTGTCTCTAAGATTCCCCAGGAGCTGCTGGGAGAGCGAGAGGAGACGAAACAAATCAACACACTGTCAGAGCAGGACGACAGCAGCTCCTCCTGCAATATTTACCGTGTTGTGTCTGATGGTAATGAAGCATCAGCGGCTCGGGCCGAGGGGAAAACGCTTGGATTTCAACAAATGAACGGTCAGAACTCCAACACAAGGATTTATTGTAGGTCAGGGCGCTGCTCAAAGCCCCAAAGACACGACTGAGCGCAGTGACAGCGCTGGTGTCCCCCCAGAGCCACCCCACGTGCTCGCTCTGGACACACAAAAACTCCCCGTGCTGAAAGAGGCAAAGTTTCAGACAGATTTTGCCCAAATATAGAATCAGGGATCACGAGCTGGAAAGAGAAGCAGATTTGAAGGGAACAGATTTAAAGCTCACTGGAAACTCCAGGAGGAACAACTCCATTAATCAATGGGAAAGGCTGGAAGACACACGTTTTCCAGCTCAGTGTCCAAAAAAAAAAAGAGAGTCAGAAGGAAAGATAACGCCCTGAAGCTCTCAGAAGTGATAGAAGATGTCCCTGTCTGCAGTGAGGAAGAAAATCCAGGCATAAATTTGGTTGAATTGGAAGAACTGAAACAACTTCCCCAAGGTGAGACCTCCCCTCGGGTCCCAGTACGGGATGGAGGGCACTGGGGTGTGTGGGAGCCTGAGGGTGAGCTGTGCCCAGGGAAAAGGGTGATGACCACAAGGGTGGTGCTGGGAAACCATGGAATGCTCCCTGACTACTGCAAAGCCCTGTCCTGGCAGCCACTTCACGCAGCAAGTTTGGCATCACTTGAAACAACTTGTGAGGGCAACACAGCCGGGGGAAATGAAGAGCCCCCTCCCGCTCCCACCTCGGAGAAAATCCCACTTTAAAGGCAAACAAACACAGGTTTACAACCCAGTGGGGTGTTTTGGAACACAGGAGTGTTCCTTCAGTGGAAGGAGGCAGCTTTCCAGGCAACACAAGTGCTGTGATGGAACCAGGGAATGCCGGGAAGCTCCTGTGGTCCCTCAGCCCAACGAGCTCCAGGGCCAGAGAAGAGTCATGGAATGGGTTGTGTTGGAAGGGACCTTCCAGAACATCTTGTTCCACCCCCTGCCATGGGCAGGGACACCTCCCATTAGCCCAGGTTGCTCCAACCTGGCCTTGGACACTTCCAGGGATCCAGGAGCAGCCACAGCTTCTCTGCCCAACCTGTGCCAGGGCCTGCCCACCCTCCCAGCCAGGAATTCCTTCCAATATCCCATCTATCCCTGCCCTCTGGAACTGGGAAGCCATTCCCTGTGTCCTGTCACCCCATGGATTATCCCCACCTGTCAAGCTTGAAGTCATGAGCACATTCCTGCAGGACTCGGTGTGGTTCAGAACCAGCAGCTTTTTGTGTCTCCACACAGGAATTTTAGGGTTTCCTACCACGTTCCCAGGACACCCCATCAGATGCAGATCTGCACCCCCAGCACTGGCAGCCCCTGCTGTGCCAGCCCCAGGGAGCTGGGAGGCACCAGGGCCTCAACACTTTGTATTTCCTGGAGAAAAGGGCCCAACAATTTAAAAACAGACTCGTGGAAACTCAATAATCACAGAATGTGCTGAGTTGGAAAAGACCCACAGGGATCATCCAAGTCCAACCCTCAGCCCTGCACAGGCCCATCCCCAAGAGTCCCACCCTGTGCCCCAGAGGATCATCCCAACCCTCCTGCAGCTCTGGCAGCCTTGGGGCTGTGCCCACTGCCCTGGGCAGCCTGGGCAGTGCCAACCACCCTCTGGGGGAAGAACCTTCTGCTGAGATCCACCCTGAGCCTGCCCTGGCACAGCTCCAGCCATTCCCTTGGGGCTGTCCCTGGTCCAAGAGGGTCTGTCCCTCTTCTTCCCCTCCTGAGGAATGTGCCAAGGAGATGCTTTCCCCTCCCCATTTTTTGGGGGGAAAAATCAACTCCCTCAGCTGGTGCTTCTCAAAAACCATCAGTGACATAACGAGGAGAACATAAACCCACACTGCTTGCTGCTTCAAAACACCGAGTTCTGTAGGGAAATGAAGTGAATCCAGAGGGGAAAAGAGCCCGGGAATGGGAACGGGAATGAGCTGCGTGCCTTTGTGTTGTTCTTAAAACGCTCATTGGGAAAATAAGGAAGGGAAAATACAGAATAATTTTTAAAAGTCAATCTTAAAGCATGACAGGTCATAGCCAAGGAAGGGCTGAGGCATCCCAGGCTTCCACTCACCGAGTGTGTCCGGAGGGCGGCGATGGTTTTGGACAAGGCCATTTCCCACAGCTCATCCAGGTAGGCGCGATTGACCAAGCCCTGAGTGGTGTGCAGGATGTGATCCTCCACCACAAAGAACCTGGCAGAGAGGGGACAACAGCCCTGCATTCACAGCCTGGCTCTGGAGAGATCCCTGAGCCCCCCGGGAATGGATCCGTGGGATGGGAGCGCCCGGAGCTGGAGAATTGGAGGTGTCCGGGTGGAATTTTGGCAGCACCAGACATTTTATTTCCCTTTTTTTAACTCCAAAGGGGGTTTTGGTGTTGGACAGGGAGTTAAAATCCTGGGAATGTCGCTCTGGGGGAGGTAAAAAGGGAGAACTGCCCTTCTCCAGGTTCTCCAGCTTGTTACTCCCACTGGAGCCGCTGGGTAAACTCAGCAAAAAGTGCATTAAGGGCAGGGAAAAACGCTCCAACTGCTGGGAAAATGGTTTATCTGAAGGGAAAAATGATTTAAATGCAGGGAAAAAGGCTCCAATTTCAGGGAAAATGTTTTATGTGCAGGGAAAAATTATTTAAGTGCAGGGAAAAATTATTTAAGTGCAGGGGAAAGTGACTTAAATACAGGTAAAAAAATTATGTAAATGCAGGGAAAAGGATTTAAATGCAAGGAAACGTTATTTGAATGCAGGGAAAAATGCTCCAATTGCAGGGAAAATGTTGTAACTGCAGGGAAAAATGTCATAACTGCAGGGAAAAATTATTTAAATGCAGGGGAAAGTTATTTAGATACAGGTAAAAATTTATTTAAATGCAGGGAAAATGATTTAAATGCAAGGAAACATTATTTAAATGCAGGGAAAAATTATTTAAGAGCAGGGAAAAATGTTGTAACTGCAGGGAAAGGTTATTTAAATGCAGGGGAAAGTGACTTAAATACAGGCAAAAATTATTTAAATGCAGGAAAAGGATTTAAATGGAAGGAAACGTTATTGAAATGCAGGGAAAAATTATTTAACTGCAGGGGAAAGTGTTCCAATTGCAGGGAAAAATGTTGTAACTGCAGGGGAAAATGCTCTATTGCAGGAAAAATGTTTCAACTGGAGGGAAAAGTGTTTTAAGTGCAGGGAAAGATGTTCTAACTGCAGATAAAATGCTTTAACTGCAGAGAAAAATTATTTAACTGCAGGGGAAATGCTCCAATTGCAGGAAAAATGCTTTATCTACAGGGGAAAATGCATTAACTGAAAGGAAAAAATGTTTTAATTACAGGGGAAAATGTTTTATCTACTAGGAAAAATACTTAAAGTGCAGGGAGAATGCTTAAACTGCAGGGGAAAATGTTTTATCTACAGGGAAAATGATTTACCTGTAGGGAAAAATGCTCTAACCATGGGGAAAAATGATTTTAAGTTCAGGGGAAAACGTTTTAAATGCAGGAAAAAAGCTTTAAATACAGGGAAAAAGCTTTAAATACAGGGAAAAAGCTTTAAATACAGGGGAAAAAAGCTTTAAATACAGGGGAAAAAGCTTTAAATACAGGGGAAAAAGCTTTAAATACAAGGAAGTTGCTCAACTGCAGGGAAAAATGTTTTCAGTACAGCAAAAAATGTTCTAATTGCAGGGGGAAATGCTTTAAATACAGGAAAAATGCTTTAAATTCAGGAAAAAACGCTTTAAATGCAAGGAAAATGCTCCAATTGCAGGGAAAAATGCTCCAATTTAATGGAAAAATGTTTTATCTGTTAATGTTTAAATGATTCAAAGTACAAGGAAAAGTGTTCTAACTGAAGGGAAAAAATTATTTATCTGCAGGGAAAATGCTCCAATTGCAGGGAAAAATGCTTTTAAGTACAGGGAAAATGGGTTATCTACATGGAAAAATGCTCCAACTGTAGGGAAAATGTTTAAATTACAGGGAAAATGCTTTATCTGCAGGAAGAAATGCTTTAACTGCAGGGAACAATGCTTTAAGGACAGGGAAAAATGCTTTAAATACAGGGAAAATGTTTTAAAGTACAAGGAGAAGTGTTGCAACTGAAGGGGGAAAGTAATTTATCTGCAGGGAAAACGCTCCAATTGCAGGGAAAAATGCTTTAAGTACAGGGAAAATACTTTAACTGCAGGGAAAAATTATTTAGCTACAAGGAAAAATGCCCTTTTTTTTTTTTTTGCTGGGAATAGATATTGAAATTATTATCATGAGGTGAATTGCCCCCTGGGTTTGATAGATCAAAAGTCTTTGGGAGTCTCCTGTGAGAGTTGGGATGGGTTTGGAAGATTCTTGTCAAATTTGAGTGATAGTAAAGAACAGGGGATTGAGAATCACCTCCTCATTAAATATCCAAGGATAATTCAGGCACAGGGCCTGTTCCCCTCACCAGTGGGGCAAGCAGGGTCCACAGGGATTGTTTATCCTCAGATTCCCAGAAATCCCCTGGCTGCCACGAGAGCCGGCAGCTCCCTCCACGCTCCCACTGGTGACCCGTGGGTGCTGTAAAAAGCACAACCCACCTTTCATTTGCCTCTTTTGGCCTAAAGGACCACCAAAAATAGCAACATTCCCTCCTCTCCCGGTGTTTTTTTTGGGGCTCCCCAAGGGCCCAGGACACCCTTGTTTGGGGGATATAAAAAGCACACCTACCCTACAATTTGATTAAAATACTTCCTGTAGCCGTCCAAGGTTTCGTGCTGCAGCAAAGAGAAAGGGGGAAAAAAGATTAAATCCCAGGTGGCCCAAGAGCCAGGGGGATTTTTGGGATGCCCCAGGGAGCAGGGATGCAGGTACCATGTTGGAGGGAGGCTGCAGGACCAGCCGGGCTTGTTTTCTCCTCTGCTTCCTGTAGTAGCTCTCGAAGGTTTCTCGGGCACCCTGGAAGAGAGAAAAGGTTCGTTCAGGGAATGTAAATGATCTCAACCCAGAGGTGGCTTGAAATATAAAATCACTCATTGTTCAGGTTGGGAAAGCCCTCCAGGATCATCGAGTCCAACCATCCCCAGCACTGACCCCTGTCCCCAAAAATCCCTCCAGGGATGGGGACTCCACCACTGCCCTGGGCAGCTGTGCCAGGGATGGACAGCCCTTTCCAGGAAGGAATTTTCCCCAATATCCACCTTAAACCTCTTCTGGTGCAATTTAAGGCCGTTCCCTCTCCTCCTGTCCCTGTTCCCTGGGAGCAGAGCCCGATCCCCCCTGGCTCCCCCCTCCTGTCAGGGAGTTGCAGAGCCAGAAGGTCCCCCCTGAGCCTCCTTTTCTCCAGGCTGAGCCCCCCCAGCTCCCTCAGCCCCTCCTGCTGCTCCAGCCCCTTCCCAGCTCCGTTCCCTTCCCTGCACACGCTCCAGCCCCTCCATGTCCCTCCTGTCTGAGGGTCCCAGAACTGCCCCCAGGGCTGGAAGTGCCTTAGCAGTGCCAGCACAGAGGGACAATCCCTGCCCTGGGGTTGGGACACACCATGGCTGGTACAATATAAATTGCATATATTATATAAATTACATACATTATACTGGATTTAATATCAAACCTCACATTGCTCCAGCATTTTCCTGCAAAATTCAACTCAAAGAGCAGAGGACAAAGAGTTTTGCTCCAAACATCAAGTCACAACCCAACAGTTCAGTTCTGAGAGTATCTCATGAGCTCTCTCTGTATCCGATTCCCAGTGTCACCTGGAGGTGTGGGATTAGAGGGATACAACCAGATTCTCTCTGGACCATAACATGGACAAACATCACACTGATTTAACCAGGGGGGGAATGAAACAGCCAATTCCTCTGTCAGCAAAAAGAAAACAGGGACAAAGAGCACAAAGAGATTCATGGGACAAGAGGGATGCAAAGCCACAAACATCAGGGAATTCCAGGCCAGGTTGGACGGGGCTTGGAGCAACCTGGGAGGGTGGAAGGTGACCCTGCCCATGGTAGGGGGTGGCAATGGATGGGCTTTAAGGTCCCTTCCAACCCAAACCAGTCTGTGATGTTCCCTTACAGGAGGTGACCAGTTTTGAACACTTGCCCAGTCCTTGGTACATGGAGATGGGATATTGGGAAGGAATTCCTGGCTGGGAGGGTGGGGAGGCCCTGGCACAGGTTGGGCAGAGAAGCTGTGGCTGCCCCTGGATCCCTGGAAGTGTCCAAGGCCAGGCTGGAGCACCCTGTGCTAGTGGAAGGTGTCCCTGCCCATGGCAGGGGGTGGCACTGGGATGAGCTTTAAGGTCCCCCAACCCAAGGAATTCCAGGAGAAGGTGCCTGTGTGGGGTTACAGCAGTTTATGACCCCCATCGATACATTCAGGAAAACTACAACTCCCATCTCATTTTCTCTCACCTCACCTGTGGGTCTGAGCCCCCAGAGCACAGCTGGTTATCCCAAAAGCTGAACACCCCACGGGTGTCACCCACCCCCACCCTGATGGTAAAACAAACCACCACTGGGGTGGATTTGTTTTACCATCCGGGTTCCGTGTGAGGATCCCACCCAGGATCCCACCCCACAGCCAGGAGGCTCCTCAGAGGCCAATCCCACAGGCTGTGGAAATCCTGGATGTTTCATCCCTGCCTGTTCCATCCCCCCACCTCTCCACACCCGCGCTGTTTTCAGTCTGAAATTGGATTCTAAACACTTCAGAGAGGGGACAACGGCTTCCTTTGAACTCTTGGGAGCCAAAGGAGGGGGGAAAAAAAAAAGAGAGAGAGAGAGAAATCTCATTTAGAATTCACAAAACAAACAACACGCAACAACAAATATCACCTGAGCGAGGCACCAGCTGTCAACCTGCCCTACACCAGGAAATAAATTAATGAAAAGGCAACCTGATGGTAATTTAATGATTCTCCAGCTGTCCTGGCATTATACAACCAGGCTGCCTCAGGATGCCCTCAGCTGCCAGGGTCTTATGAAATGTCTGCAAGGAAGCCTCGAGGAGCCATAGCCTGAGTTGCTCCTTGTCTTTCTCCGAGCTGCAGCTCCAGGCTGGAGAGGAATCCAGGCTTGCTGAGGAGCCCCAGAGCTCTCCCACTCGCTTCTGCCCTTCCCAGGGGTGCTAAAACCCACCCCAAAAACACCTCCTTGCCACCCTGCACTGCAGAGATAAAGTGGGGTTTGTCTCTGAATGCTCATTTTTGCTCCAGGGGGCACGGGATGAGCAGCTCCTGATCCACACTGGGCACATCCAGCAGTGGTGCCAACAGCCTGGCAAGGGACAAACCTGGATTGGGTGCAAAGCCCAGCTTTTCTCCTCTGACTGGGTTTAAGAATCAACTTGAACCTGCAAGTAACCGGATATTTTAAGGAAGATTTTAGAAATATCTGGGAACCAGAGTCTCCCTGTCCTGTGTCTCCTCCATGCTCTCCAAAGGTGTTTCCCTGAGCAAAGGGAAGGATCACAAGCCAGAAATGGGGGATCCAAGAGGTTAGACCCAGCACAAGGAGGATTATCACAAATTTTATCAAGCTCAGGGATAAAACTAAAGTGACATAGTAAGTTATTAAGCCAGGTAATAAATTCAGGAGGACTTACAAGCAGGGAGCTCTGACCTCCCTCAAAGCTCCTCTCCCAGGCCTGGGAACTGGGTCCTCTCTCCCACCCCACCCTTAAAGGAACCAAATCAAAGATTTTATTAAATTCAGCTGTGCCTCATCTCCCAAAACCTACACAAAAAAAACCCTGATCATCTCCACCCTCATCAACTCACCCCTGGCAGCATCACTGAGATCCTGGAGTGAAGCTACTCAATCAACTGGAGCTAATTAACCAATTGATTAATCTGGAGTACAAATTCAAACCTGAAGGTGGTTTTTTTTTCCTCTATTTCTTTATTAAATTAACTTTGTAACCATCCAAGGCAGGAGCACAGGAGGTTGAGCCACCTGGCTGACAGTGGTTGGTGGCTCACATGAGACCACCACGGTGGGTTTTATCATCCCATGGAATTTGAGGAGTAATTATTCCCTGCTACTGAACAAGCAGAACTTGCCACTTCCCTAATATTTTGTGGTGACCTCAAGGACTTACTGGAAATTTGGAGAACAGCTCAGAAACCAACCAGACCTTTAAAGACCAGATTTTGGAGATTTCTGCTAAGACTGCACCAAAGCCAGACAGTTCAGCTGGAATTCTGCCTGTTCAGCTCCCCCTCACCACGGATTCCTCAGGGAAGAAAGGACAAGAAGTCATCCCACATCATTAAAAGCTTCTCCATTGCATGGAATCATGGAAGGGTTTGGGTTGAAAGGGACTTAAAAGACCATTCCCTGTGTGCTGTCCCTCCATGTCTTGTCCCCAGTCCCTCTCCAGCTCTCCTGGAGCCCCTTCAGGCCCTGCCAGGGGCTCTCAGGTCTCCCTGGAGCCTTCTCTTCTCCAGGGGAACCCCCCCAGCTCTCCCAGCCTGGCTCCAAGAACCAAAATCCCCAACCCCACCATTCACCTCCTTCACCACCGGGACAAACCCCAGTCCAGGTTTCTGTCACTATTTTTTGGCTTTGAGGAAGATGAAGCATCTGCAGCAACTTCATCATCACATTCCCTGCAAACTGAAATTAGGTTGGATTGGAGTTTCAGAGCAAAAAGTGTTTTCCACAGACAGGAGGAGCAGGAGCAAAGAGAAGGAACAGCAAAGACCTCTGACACCACACCCCCAAAAAATCATAAAATCCTATTCACATTTTAGTTTCCCTCAAATTTATGGCTCAGAGATCTGCCAATGTGACCAAAACCATCTTCCTCCCCATGCCCTGCTCCAAGTGTTTTCCTTCTTGAGCCTTTTGTGGCTGTCCCAGGAATCAGGGGCTCTCTCAGGAGAGCTTCCTCCAACAAAAAACTCCTCCTCAGAACATCTCTCTTGACCATATTCCCACATTTCAGGCTCACACTTTCATCCTTTTCTCTTAAATCCATTCCTCCATCGTCTCCTCAGATACTTTCATTGCTCAGGATATTACATTATCCTAAAAATGGAAAATATTTCTTCCTCTTGGTGGCAGTTCGAGCTCAGACCACCCACTTTCCCACATTCGATCTGTTTAAGACCATTCAGCTTCTCAGGTCTTCAGACAATCCATTAGTCCTCTGTCTCCTACATTTTACTGCTCTTCTCCTCTGCATAAAACCTCCCAAAAACCCAACAAACACATCAACCACACCAAAAAAATGTCCAGAACAGGCCATGGGACCCAAGTGTTTTAGAAATTACTCCTCTGAATTTATATTTATATTTATATTTATATTTACATTTATATTTATATTTATTTTTATTTTTATTTTATTTTTATTTTTATTTTAATTCTGTTCTTCTCCCACAGCCCAAGGGACAGGACAAGAGGAAACAACCTCAAGTTGGGCCCAAGGGAGATTGAGGTTGGATATTTGGAGGAAATTCTCCATGGAAAGGGTTTTCCAGCCCTTCCTCATCTCTGGAGGGATTTAAAGTGGATGTGGCACCTGGGGACACGATTTAGTGGCAGCCTTGGCAGTGCTGGGGGATGGCTGGGCTCGATCTTAAAGGGCTTTTCCAACCAAAATGATTCCATAAAATTGAGGTTTGGGGAGAGGAGAAGGAGCTGCTTTTCCCATTCATCTCCTCAGTTTTAACGTGTTTCACCCAATTCTCAATCCTTTAGGATTTCACCTTGTCCTCAATCCCTCGGAGGGAGCTGAAGAATCCAAAGCTCCACTTCCAAAACTGCCCCTTTACTGCAATCCCCAGTCCAGGAGAAAAAAAAAACCTCCCTGATGTCTCATAGTTTTAAAATGACGGGGCACAACTTTCCTCCCTCAATTAGCTGGGAGTTCACAGAGCTGGCAAGGAGAGGATGGTTAATTAAGAGTGTGGATGAACACCAGGGAAGGGAAAACAGGAGAGGAACCCGAGAAAGAAA